CCCAGCACAGGCTGACAGCCTGTGGCCCATTCGCTGTCCGGCCACCTCATTCCGTTGTCCCCAGGTGACCGACCCGGTTGCATTCCTGTGGTTTGGGGTTTGCTGGAGTTTGGTGGCAGTGACTGAAGTCTTGGCACTGTCTCACTAGTGAGTGGGGAAGGGGCTCTGGGGCCAAGTTCTCCTTCAAATAAGATTCCAGCGGTTTCCTCAGTTGAGGCATCTGCAGAGCAGAGGACAAACAATGTGGGATTAAGTTTCTCCGGAAAAATGAGCTCCTCTGGTGAAGATCTAAGCCGCTCTCGAGGCCCTACTGCCTCCCCTGGTGCCAAGCCAGGCTCCCCCTGCCTTCCAGACACAGCAGTGAGGCAACCCCAACTCCCAAGGCCATGCACTCCTCCCCCTGACACCCTCTGTGACCTCAAAACTGTCACCACAAACAGGCTGTGGCTTTTCCTGAACTCAACTGGAACACCCTGACCAGTAAGAACTGGGAACCAGTCCCTGGGACCTCTCGGGACAGGTCTAGGCCAGCTGTGTCTGATGTCGCTAGGCGCCATTCAGGGTCAGGTTGCAGAGACCAGGAGACATCATGAGACTGGCTGTTTCCTGGGGGCCCCCGGGTTATAATAGCATATTCTACTGTGACAGGTCCCCAAATGCACAGAGCAGAAAGGGACAAAGAAACAGAGCTGTCAGCAGGCTTCTCCTCACTCCCAGCCCAGCACCATCTAAGACGCTAGCATGGTCTACTCCTGGGACACAGCCATGGAAAAGGAACGAAGCAGTGCCACACGCGGAGGAGCCTGAAGTCACGCTCAGAGAACAAATCTCAACACACAAGGCCACCTGAGATTCCATTTACATGCAATATCCAGAATAGATAAAGCCACGATGGGGCTTGGATTAGTGGTTGCCTAGACCTGGGGTAGAGGGAGAAAAGTGACTGGTTAATGAGACAGAGCTTCCTTTTGGAGTGAAAAAAAAAATTGTTCCTGAACTAGATAGAAATAGTGTTCCCACAATATTCTGAGTGTCTTAAAACTCATGGAAGTTATGGCACGTGCATTTTACCACTATAAATGGGGGCATGAAAGGCCTTTCCCCTGCATCCTCAGCTGTAATGGAGCCAACAGCTCTGGCCACCCGTGGGGGATGAAGAGTCCAGGGGTCCAAGTGGATGTGCTCACCCGAGCCGTGGCCCTCCTCCCTAGGTCTCACCTTGCACACAGATCTGGGCAGCGTTCCTCCCCAATCAGGCAGGAAACCAAAGACAAACCACATCCTGCTCCCAAGGGCCAGCTGTCTGCAGAAGAGTGAGTGAATTTGGCTTCTCTGGGATGGGCTCTCTGCACCTTCTGCTCCAAGATGGAAACAGGAATGAGATGATCAGAAAAATGAGACCACAGGCAAGGCCTAGGATCCAAGGGGCCAACCCTCCCCCAGGCAGCTGCCTCCTGGCACAGAACTCCAAATCCTCAGAGGACTATGACCATGACCCGAGCCTTCGTGGTTATTGTGAAGACGTATGTCACAACAGATGGATAGCACATACTTTAACAGTGATGAAGCTTGACATAGGACTTCAGAATATTTAAACTTGTGGTTTGGATTCATCTTTTATTACTTTGTAACAACAACAAAAAACAACATCGACAAAAAGAAAACACCAACTCAGTGTTAATGATTGGCTTAAACTAATACCCATTCATTTTGTGTGTGAGGATGTTCGTGTGTGTGTGTGTGTGTGTGTGTGTGTGCACACGTTTGTGTGTGTACATGTGTGAATATGTTCATGTGTGCACACACATGTATGAGCATACTCATGTATGTGTGTACATGTGTGAATATGTTCTCATGTGTGCACACACATGTGTGATAATGCAGGCGGAAAGCAGGGGACAACCTGGGGGGTGTCACTGGTTACTCAGGAGCCTCCACCTTGTTTACTGAAATGGGTTCTCTCGTTAACTTGGAGCTTGCTAAGTAGATGAGGCTGACTGGCTGGCAGGTAGTGTAGAGAGGGAGCCACCTGTCTCCGGTTCCTCAGGTGTAGATGTAACCAAACTCAGGATGGCACTAGAAACGCACACCACCACGCCAAGGTTTGTTGGTTTGATTTGGTTTTATACAATATATTCTGATCATGGCTTCCCCTCCCTCACCTCCTCCCAGATCCTCCCCACCCCCTACCCATCCAACTTTATGTTCTTTCTCTCTTTAAAAAAATAACCACAAGGGGCTGCAGAGATGGCTCAGTGGTTAAGAGCACTGGCCACTCTTCCAGAGGACCCAGGTTCAATTCCCAGCACCCCCATGGCGGCTCACAACTGTCTGTAACTTCAGTTCTAGGGGACCTGATACCCTCAGACATACATGCAGGCAAAATACCATTGTACATAAAATAAAATACCACCAATGCCGGGCAGTGGTAGCACACACCTTTAATCTCACCAGAGGAGCAGGACAGGGATATACAGAGAAACCTTGTCTCAAAAAACTGAAAATAAATAAATAAGTAAATAAAACTAAAACAACAACAACAATAAAGACCAAAAAAAAAAAAGCCAAAATCAAACAAACAAGCTAACAAAATACATGGAGTTCATTTTGTGCTGGTCACCTATTCCTGGAAATGAGACCTGCCCTAGAGTGTGGTTGTGTACACAGTGACACTCCACGGGAGGAGACAGATTTTCCCTTGGCCAGAAGTTGTCAACTGCAGACGGCTTCTTAATTTAGGGTTTTTGTTTTGTTTTTAACATGGGTTCTGAGGAGCAAAACGCGAGTCCTCAAGCTTACAAGGCAAGCATTTGCCAACTGGACCACCTTCCCAGTCCCACCTTCCTGTTAGCTCACACCTGCACCAGACAGAGGTCCGTGAGAGTTCACTGAGTTCCTGGCTTGGGGTCTCACAAAGTTAAAGTTCAGGTGTCAGCCACGCTAGGCTCTTACTTCAAGGCTGTGAGGAAGAATCCACACCTAGGGCTAATCAAGTTCTTTCAGTCAGATGGACTGATTTCACCCTGCCAGCCCATGCCGAGGCCGGGGATCTTGTCTTCAGTTTGAATCCAGCCTGTTTCCTGAGACAGGGTTCTCTTTGTGGCTGTCCTGGAACTTGCTCTATAGACCAGGCTGGCCTCAAATTCAGAGATCCACCTGCCTCTGCCTCCTGACTGCTGGAATTAAAGGCGTGTGCCATCACTGCCTGACACAAAATCATGTCCTCATTAACTGATCAGTTAACTTTGTATCATTTGTATGTGGTAGGTACACAGGAATCTGATCCCCTTCCATCCCAGCACAGCCAGGGTCTTGATGAGCTCTTCTGGATCTTCCCCAACTGACTAGCAAGCAGGAAAGAGAGCCAGCCAAGGCAGATTTTCCTAGAACCAAAACCAGAATATAGCATGGCTTCTAGCCTTTGGGACACATCCTGGCTGTAACTCAGTCCATGACCTCACCTAACTGCAGAGAAAGCTGAGAAACGCAGTCTAGGAGAAAGGAAAATTGAATCTGGGGAGCACATAGCACGCTGGTTGCCAAATTCGTTGCTTAAATCTTAAACGTGCTCCATGGGTTCACGCTTTTAACCCTTTATTCTCCAACTGGGGATGCTACTTTGAGAGGCTGTAGAAGACCCAGGAATTCCGGTGTAGTTAGCAGAAGTCAGTAGAGGTGGGTGCTTGAGGGTTATGCTCATCCCTGGTTTCCGCCTTGCTCTCTGCTCCCCTGGGACGTGAAGCCTCTACCACGCGCTCTCCCCATCATGCAATACGCTGCTCCACCATGACATCTCTGCCAGAACGGACTGAAACCCTCTGAGACTGTGATCCCAAATAAATCTTTCCCCAGTTACACTGTTTCTGTCAGACACTATAGTCCAATAATGGCTCATAGCTCCAGGGGTGTGAAGGGCCCCCACAATGTAACGGTGGCAGCAGAGCACAGCTCCCTGGATGGCCCAGAAGGAGCAAGAGCAGTGAATACTTTCTCTTTCTTTCTTTCTATCTGTTTGTCTGTCTTTCCTTTTTTTGGGGGGAGGGGTTGTTTGTTTTTCAGGATAGGGTTTCTCTGTGTAGTTTTGGAGCCTGTCCTGGAACTCACTCTATAGACCAGGCTGGCCTTGAACTCACAGAGATCCGCCTGCTTCTGCCTCCTGAGTGCTGGGATTAAAGGCGTGTG